GGCCTTCCTGGGGTAACGGCCTGCTGGAGAAATCGCAGGAACGGAACCCCTTGAAATATGCACCTAATCTTGCTTGCAGAGAGAAGAGCCTTAAAGCTCTAATTAGCCCTTGCATGATGATTTTCCTCGTGTGTTGTAAGTGCCGTAGTATGCACGTCGGGGGTTTACTATACGGCTTGGATCACATGACTTCGAAATATGCTCCAGTGGTGATATATCGCCAGGAAGGATATCTTGTATTGAGTATCGTGTAGAGAATGAACAACCGAGGAAGATCTTAATCTCATTGGTATATAGCTATACACAAATCATGGCATCATGCACAGTGAAAAGTGAACGAACATCATATGTACGCCAAAACCATCTGCAAAAGAGCGTCATATCGGACATGTCACCAAATAACATCAGTTTTCATTTAACCGCAGCTTCTTTCCGATGAACCGCCGTTTCGCAGGCTTATCGGCTCGCTCTCGGTCGACACTCAACCCTTTAAGAGCATGAAGCAGCATGCCCGAGTCAAAGAAGCCATCTATACGATCATTGTCAGCAAATGCTTGAAAAGGAACAACTTCTCGAGAGACTTACATCCACCCATGCTATCATCCTCGATATCGCCACTGTCCGTAGTTGGCGTGTCCGCGCCCCGTTGCATCAAACCAGAATCGCCGCGGACTAGCCGGCCCCGGCGATTATCGTTTTGGAACCGCTCGGCGAGCATCTCCATCTCGCGTGCCCTGCTTGTGCGAGGGCTGACCGCCTTACGATTGGTGGCGCGGAGCAGCTTCCGAATCTCGTACAAATACGACTCCAGCGTTTGCATCAACCGGGCAGTTTGCCGGTGCTTGGACGAGGCACAGATCGAGATAGAATCGTCTTTGATGATGTAACCGATACCAAATCCATCTGCGGATGTCGGTCCAAAACCAAAGTGCCTCAGACTCGGGTTGCCACAGTTGGATGTTGACAAGATCGTGTTGTTGATTTTGTCCCAGCCGGGATCGCTGAAGATGGCCGGAGTGGGCGGCAGTGTGCGAATACCGCGGTAGCTATAGCCGTTCGAGGACAGGCCGTCCTCGGACATGGAGGACGACGTTTTGGGAGAATCGATGGCCGATCCGTTCTCAACAGGGCTCGAGTATCCGTTGGATCCGCCTTCAACGCTATTGCCCGCTGACGGACTGTCCTCGTCAAATGATCTTTGCCAAACACAGTACAGGGCATACAAGTGGCGATCCTGACCCTGTCCCTTGGAGCATTCCTTGGTGATGGCGCTGTGCTTTTCAGTCGCCTTACGAAGAGCGTTGACCTTCTGCTCTGCAGGGTTGTCGCCCCAAAAGGTCTTCACAAAGTCGACACATTCATTAGTGACCGTTCGGATGGCTTCCGTCCGGCCGTGCAAAAAGAATTTGGTCATTGCCGGCTCGTATGTGTTTTCGACGCGACCATATAGTCCATAATAAGCGGCTTGAAATGCCATCTGCACAAAGGCATCTGGGGAGAAGCCCATCGAGGTGATAAAATTCTTGCCATATCCTTCGAAATCAAGAACAGCGAATTCATGCTGCTGGAGGAGATCGGCAAGATGAGACTCGGCAAATCGCAAGGCAATGCTCAACTCGGGAACCATGTCCCACTCGAGCTTTCGCGGTGTCGTGCTGACATTGCCAAAGCTCCTGGGGTCACGCTTTGAGGGATCAGGGCTGGCAGTTGCCCAGAGCGACGGGGCTTGACCGTTGATTGTTTTAGCAAAACGAAGGATGGTGTCTGTGTACACGTCGCTAGCGAAGCGCAGAACCGTGTGGCCGTCGACACCAGTGTGTTCGAAGTTGATACCAGCACTTCCGTTCTTGCACACAATGATCTGCAGTTTGTCGTACCACCGGTTGGTACAGGTACCAACCTGGACACCTCTGACGACCTCGCTCGTACCACAGAGCATGTTGGCGCAAAGCTGCGACGTATTCTCCGGTTCTGTATCGTCCAGACAAAGAGCAAACAAAGCTGTGTCGACAATGTTTAAGCATTCCGAGTTATTGGACCCCTCGTCCTTGGTTAGGATATCTCTCAGACCCGACCATACTTTCCGATTCTCGGTGCTGAGAACACCAAGGGCACCCTTTGCGGCCTCCTGCACTGGGGTCTGTTCGGCATCGCCAATGATCACCTGCAGATTAACTGCGATATCCTTTTCGCTCATGATCAAGTCGCTGTTATCGTCAAGAACATCAAACCAGTAGAACTGACCCCGGCACAGAACAACGATGTGTTTTGCGTGCGGGTCCTGGCTGATGATACACCCATTTTCCGTGGGTAGACGTGCAGTTCCGAATAGTCGGGAGTACTGGTACATGCATAGTGGTGTTCCTCGGACCGTGTCAGGTGGAAGTTCCTCCCGCCTGACAGCCCGAACAAAGGAGAGAGCAGACACGACGAGAGACGCCGCCCGAGTCACCTGATTGTTCCTGGCAGGGGTGGGGTCATCTTCCAGCAAGAAGAACGGGTTAAGATTCAAGACAACAGCTGTGACCAGGTCAGTTCAGCGATCGACTGCTGTAAGAAGAATGAACAAGTTCTTACGATTGTCATAGTTCAAGTAGGAGTCGTACCCTATGCGGCTGTATGTTAGTGCAGTCGTATACGACGTGTTTCAGGGAATACATACAGAACTGTTCAATGTAACTCGTTTTAGATGAGGCATAATTCTTCAACTTCTCCTGAAGAATAGGACCATCCGTCTTGAGAAATTCCTGAACAGCAGCCTTTGTTTCTTCCTGCTCTCGTGGGGTTTGCAATGCTGATAGTGCTTCTAGGTATTTCTTGCATGTACTCTCAAGGTCGGGAATAGGCAACTTTGGCAAGGAGTCCTGGTTGGCAAATGTCAAGCCCTTTTTCTCACAGGACTGAGCCGGAGCTGATCCGCCATTCACTGATGTTGGATTGGAGGGATTAACCCTAGCATCGACGCTTGGTTGAGACCGGGGGGCTTCCATGGCGCCTCCCAATGGCTTTGGAGCCGTGAAGTAACGGACTGCCATGGACGAGTAAGACATATCGTCAGCTGAGAAAAAAAATTACTCCTTCAAGGGGAAAAACACTAAGCGTAGCGGCAGGCGAGGAAAGTCGGGATGGACAAAAGACGTAAAGCGCTGCGGTAGAAGTAGTGACAATCTTGCAAGCAATAAGATGGCATGGATAATTGCGTACTCGTACTGGGACTTTCAAATGTTCAAAAGTTCACAAAACAAAAAATGACGGAATGTAAGGCGAAAGGGCTAAACTGTTATATGTGTAGAAGAGTATAGAACAAATCCCAGTGTATACGGCCCCCACGGGGGACGCAAGGTCAGAGGTGTGGAGCATGTGCTGGGGTCTCGGGGACGAAAGGAAGAATAGCGTCAGGCAGCGGGAAAAGGGACGCTTACAGTAAATCAGATAGAGGGATAGCCTGCAGCGGTTGCATCAACGACAGTGGATCGCTTTGCACCGGCCTCCGCGTCCGAGGACTTTGATGGTAGTATGCGTCGGGGGAACGGAATGCTTGACGGGTGGTTAGTGTACGGTGGCCAGGTAGCTTAGGTTGCCAAGAGATGCAGGTTCAGAAAGCAAATGAAGCAGACACCGCACAAAAGTAAAATTAAGACGAGCAAAAGGTTTCGTGGAATCACTCTGAAAGCAGTTGAATAATTGCGAAAATTGATTTGCCGACTGACACTCCTCGAGTCCTTGAGCTGACACGATGGCGGGGTGTTGGAAGATTGCCCGTGTGACGTCTGCAGGATAAAGGCATTGATCAGAGGACTGTAGATAGTACTTACCCAACTATAATCCCGGATGAGCAACACGAGGCAATTCAATAAGTCAAGGCGATTATCAAGATGCCGTGTAAGAGCTTATCCGAGACTGGCTCTCGAGGGATGATAGTGAAGTTGCACTGCAGTGATACAGCAAAAATAGATACTGGACCAGGTAGCGAGTCTAGTCGATAATCTAGCTCACAGTAGTCAAGCGTTAGGCTTTAGATAGTTGGACCGTTGGATGAAGGGCTAGTCTCGCGCTGGATCCGATGACGTTTCGGGCGAAGGGAGCGGTGATAAGATGCGTGCCCAATCTCGTCCAGCAATCATTTATCCCCGGTAGTATTCCATCATTCCATGACCTGTGATCGCACTGCAAGTTTGGATGCGGGGAGCTCTCACCTAACTCTAATTGACAGGTCACGTGTTGCTTACTTCCGCGCCCCTGAGGTAACTAGTTATTGCAGGTTTCTTGAACTATACCTATCTACGTCCCAATGAGCTGCGGTTTATCGACGCTTACGAGCTTGAGGGGCATGGAGAAGACGCAGATTGCTGCAGGGTAGGGTGTTGCTTGGTGTTGAGAAAGATCAATTCGCTTCCAGCCATGTCGTACTCTAAGCAAGGCGTTATTTCATGAGATCATACTCCAGCAAACACCCAAAAAATGACAAGCTCAATGATCAAGTCGCTGGCACTGATGTACCAGGAAAAAGAATATTCGAACGGATGATATTCACAATCGAAGAGAAGCAAAGTCACGTTCATTTCCATGTCGTCGCCTGGCTCATGGCCGGGAATGTGGGGACTTGCAGATCTCCCCGGCGAAGCAAGGAGGAGCCTTGGCACAAGACAAAGTCGAAAGTGACCAGCAACACGAAGAAAAAGAGAACGCAAGAAGGTTTGTTCAAGAAGAAGAGAAATTTTGTACGAATGGCTGACAACTTCCAGAAAGTCATCCCGTTCTCGATTGCAATTTGCGATTGTAACTTTCCACATACGGGTAAATCGAGCAGTATCCCATACATCAAACAACCACTTATGATCTTTAGTTCCCTGGAGATGGTCCCATTTGAAGCTCAAACACCCACGGTCCGGGGTCAGAGTGACTTCTTTCGTAACCCCTAATGGAGAAATTGAATGTCATGCAAGGTCCGGCACCTCTCTTATCACAGTCGAGACTAGGAGATCCACGGAATTGGCAGTTTACGCCGAGTAGTAGGCGTGTCCAAGCGGAGCGAGGACGTTGTCACCGTATTCACCCGCAAAGTTGCCTATGTACATGTCAGAACCGACAGACTCCAAGGGATAAAGATTGATCACACTTACCAGGAGGGTAGTAGTTGCAGACGGTGAAGGGCGATGGCTGACTCGAGTCCACGTTGCCGAGGGAATTGCAAACGACAGTAGCGCAGCCGACGGAGACGGAACCCTTCCACACGATCTGCGAGAAATGGCCCCACTTCTCGAAGTAAGTCATGTCAGGGTTGGCCTGACCGTACAGATTATCGTAGTAGCCGAACTCGTCGTTGTACATCAGATTGGTGATCATGACTCCAATCTCGTCAGCCGAAACACCGTATCCGATGTTCTGACCATAGCCACCACCGCCGATGTCACTAAAACGGGTTAGCACACAAGCGCAGTCATTCGTTGGGGGTCTTTGTACTCACGTGTCGTGCTGGTAGACACATCGCGAGGCAAGCTCATAGGCGCTGGACTCGAGGGTGGTGTTCCAGGTCATGGAGCTGGCCGAGTGGTTGCTACGGTGGATATTGTGATTGTACAGGACGGCAGACTGATAAGCATTGGTGCCACTAGCGGCAGGAGCACTAGGAGCGGGGGCAGTGGTAGAGGTCGAAGTAGCAAGGGTGGTGGGTTGCGCAGCCTCAGGAGCCGATGAGGTCCAAGCAGATGTCCAAGCCGATGTCCAAGCAGATGTCCAAGCCGACGTCCAAGCAGAAGCCCCAGGCAATTCCTCCACTACACCAACCGGAGCGGTATTGACAGCCTCAGGGGTCGGGATAGGGGAGGCGGATGAAGCCTCAGTCTCCACAGGAGCAGGGGCAGGGGCAGGGTCGACGCTGGCGACTGTCTGAGTGAGCTGGACCGCCTGGATGGGAGAGTAGGCCGGAGTTGAGGTTGGGGGAGGCTGATAAGGGAGGGTGATGGTCGTTGTGACAGTGACGATGGTCCAATCAGTCACGTAAGACCGTTTGTCGACAGGCTTGGCCAGAGCACCTGCAGCGCAGACAGCGCCGATCAACCACGAGTAACGCATGATTCCGGAGCTGGCTTTTTTTAATTTCCCGAGAGTATGGAGCAATAATTCCCAACAGATCAACTGTGTAACCAAATTACTTCGCCAGGAAGTAAATCGACGAGCGGATTGTGAAGAGAGAAGGTGTGCTTGTCAGTAGGCAGATCGACTGCGGATTGATTTGGAGGAAGACGCTGAAAAGAGTGGCCGAGTATGTACTGTCTGGTAGACGGAGGTATAAACAAAGGAACGACAGCCGTGATGACACTTTTTCTAAAGGAGTGAAGAAAAAGAGCACGCCACAGGCGGAGGATGAAGAAGAGTTGAGCGTGGAGGGTGAGGACCAAAAGAAGGCAGTGGGAGAGATGAGAGGGAAAGAGAGTGCCTGATAATATAGGACGCCTTGGTAGTCCAACTGTAGTGGCCAGCAGCTCCAGCTAGTGAATATTTAGTGAATTGCGCCGTGAAAGGGGAGACCGGAAAGAGAGAATGTAGAAGCAAGAGTGAGAAAGCCTAGCGGGGCGACTCTATCCTCATCAGTGGGGCCAAGAGATCTGGAATAATCAAAGACAAATTAAATTCGTGATTAAAGGCATTAGAGAGTCAAGACTAACATGGCCCGGAGCGGGGACTCCCAAGGATATAATAACTTCAGGGGTGGATGGTGGTGGTACTTGATACAAGTGACCATCGCAGCCAGATCCAGAACTCGATTGATTGTTTGATGTTTCTCTCTCCTTCTTTTGTCTTTTTTTTCTTTCTCCTTTTCTTTCAGAACAGCGCAATTGCTGGGAATAAATGCCGCCTGACATGTTTACCTACCATCCACATACCAAGCAGCGTTTGGGCCCTGGTCTGTCCCTTGGTAACCTAGCATTCCGCGGCGTCGATGGAGTATGCGACAGCCACAACAGAAATTTCTTTATCTAGTGTTCATGGACAGGACCTTGAACCATGGGTTTGTCCTCACATTTGTCTATTCATTACTATTATTGTCATCTTTGTTGTAGACTGGCTCGTCATGCTCGGAATGGTAAAATCAAGCAGAATAGATGGAGCTTTAATTTCTTGACGGTTGAGAAACTCCCAGACCCCCTGACCATCACTAAACCATTCTCAGACTGCACGAGCCGCCCGTTTCAGGCACCGAGAGCCCTGAACCAATAATCTCGTTCAGCGATACCTTTGCGCCTCTGATCTCCGTCCAAGTTGAACTTTGATTATATTACCTACGCGACCTAACTCTCTATGATACATGTTACAATTGTGTGCGACATTGAGTTATGCTGGTGATGACAACATCTGTAGACGACCAATCAGAACTTCTGGAAAGACATATCAGCTCGAGTATAATCTGTAACACGATGTAGCAGGCCTTGACGCAAAACAGGTGACCATCACCTTAACCAGTGTCATTCTCTCCATAGCAAGCATACACAATCTGGATTAATTAACACTTCGGCAAGATGTCATGTAATTTCCACTTAATATCAGTCCCACCGTGCCACTAATGACTCAAAATTAAGCAGGATTCATTTTCCTCATTCCAGCCCAACCACTGCGCATCGACGCAATATACTCCATACAAACGGCATCGGTACTCGCCAGGGGTTGTGATCACTGACACATCTCCGTAGTCAATAATGATCAGCCGTCAAAACTTGGCACCCTGACCGTCCCCCGTAGACAAAGCCACCGGCGCCACGCTAATGTTTCACCCTTTGGTCCCTCGGAGATTTGGCCCATTTTCCATTACGATGCACTGGACTAATTCTGAGGCTATTAGGCTACATCACTGATCGACTTTCTACAGCGGATATAGACTCACCCTGTAGTCAAGTAGTTAATATTCGACAGTAACAAAGTCCAGAACATTTCGCCATGTTCTTTTCTGGACCTTGCGGGTCTGGATTGCTGTCGTGACTCGTGACTCATGTGCACGTCGCATCGTCTGCCTTGGCCGGTGGCATTTCCAAGCCGAGACATGGCGGTAGCAGATGCGAAGCTAGCCATCAGGATCAGATCATCAGAATCCCTTGGTTTGACACATTGACATTGACAGTACACAGATCTGATAAGCCTGTTGTGCCTTCTGAGTCCTCTGGTAGCTCCCCATTCCGCGCCTCGGCGTCATTGCCAATGAAGCGAGATTGCAGGCGTGAGGTGACGTCCCATTTGTCATCTGCCACTTCATTACCGAGTAGTTAATAGATTCGAGGTTAAGGGACGGACGCGATAGATTAATCAAAAGGGATTTAAATGCTTACACATGTTTAAATGTGTCATCGAATTTTTTCGCCGAGGACGAGATATATATTTCAGTCTGCAAGGTTCAAGCCTGATGTCATGCCATATTACATTCCACAAAGGCTTAGATAAACAACGACAGTAAACTGTAGATGTCAGCGATGTCAGCAACAAAATTATAGTAGAGCTACAGCAATTATCATTACTCGAGGCTGTCAAGAGTTATCTCCAGTTTTGCTTCCAATGAAAGTGATTTACACTTTTCAAGGACCTGCACTCACAGATCATGTACGCACAAAAGCTTGCGGTGAGTTCAAATACTACACCCTGCACCTGAAACAAGATTCGTCCAGCCCTGTCCGCAGCGTTTGAGATGCGATCCGATTGCGATTCCGTCGGGCCAACTAGCTATCTGCAGGGTCGTCGTACGATGCCCTTCCCCATGCGCCTGGACCGCCACGAAAGCCCTTCGTTTCAGAATGAGCGCTTGCTGAGCTGCTAATATGATACATGTCTTAGCTGTAATGGTCGATCCTTAGTTGTCGGGCCAGATTTAATTGGCCAACACGATCTTCATCTCTTGTTGATTGTGAGAGGATACTCTGGTAGAATAGTACTGGCGATAAAGCTAAGATTTTTTAGATTGATTGTTGCTGTAACTTCTAGCAAGCCACGGAATGTGACCCGCATAGAGTACGTTTACCCCTTATTCAAAGTTCAAAAGAATCAGGAAAACCTTGGAACACCAAGCTGACTAAGAAAAGCAAAATCGAAGATTAACTCTATCAGCACTTTTAGACGTCAACCATCGTGCATCTGCCGCTCTCGCAGACCATTAAATAATTCTTCGCCGGCTCCGATGGCTTGAGCTCTTTGAATAGTGGGTTTCGAGTCCTAAGCCAGAAAGATTGGTTGCCAACAAAGTCACCAAGATGGGATGGCCTGATGTCGACTAGTGATGTGACCGTAGCCGACGTGACCATCGTCGACCCAGCCTCGCTCCGGATCTTTTTGATAATCATATCCCGTACAGACACAGGCTCGTCTGGCTTGTTGATGAGTCTACCAGACCCTTCTGAAGTGACGCTCTGAGGGAAATTTGCAGTGCAGAAGACCCCCGTTACGCTCCGTGTTGTCGTCTGGAGTCCGACAATGACATCAAGAAGGCCAACGAACAGGAAAGGATGCTGCAGGATCTCCACGGAGAAGGAGTGGCATGTCTGGCGGGCCAGAGTACGGTACTCTTCTTCCTCTAACAGTGCCGAGAGACGGAGCAGGTTACGAGCGATGACTCCATTGATGGATGGTGTAGCGGACTCGGTTCCAGTTTTCAGACGAAGAAGCGGACCAGGCATGCCCGGTGTCATGGTGGAAGGTGTGCTGTAGTAACCCGCTGGCGTCGAGCCTACGTAGGCAAGGAAGTTATCGTTGAGATATCCTGCTTCCGTCAGTATAGTTCAACCAAATCAGCCGCTATCAGGGAACATACTCTGCAGCTGCTCTGCATATTGTAGATAACTGTCGTCGTAAGTAGCTTCATACATATCCAACAGACCGTGGATAAGATAAGCGTAGTCGTCTGCAAAGCCAGGTGTTTCTCCCCTGCTACCATCACGATAGATACGCCACAGCTGGCCCGTCGCCTTCTCAAACAAGTTCTCCTTAATGAAATTGATCGCTCGTGCTGCTGCCTCGCGACACTGCACAGCTTTTGAGCTTTCGATCTCTTCGAACAAGGCACTGCATTTGGCGAGCGCGCCGATGGCAAGCCCATTCCAAGCCACAATAACCTTGTCATCCAAATCAGGACGTACCCGTGTCGTCTCACGGTATTCACGTAGTTTCTGTTTTGCCGACTTGATGATCTTCACGACCTCCTCCTCGCTCAACCCGAATTCTCTTGCGAGCTTGCTCGGAGTGACCTTGATGGAAAGCACGTTTTGATTCATGAATTCGTCGTGCGGATCGTGTTCGGGGGAAATGTTACCATCAGGAAGCACTCCCCAGTGTCGGGCACAGACACCAGCATCTCGCTGGCCGAGAACTTGCGTGAGTTCCTTCAAAGTCCAGACATAGAATGCACCTTCGCGCTTTTCCGTGTCGTTAGGCGTTGGCAGACTGTCTGCGTCCTCGGATGAGTGAAAAGCACCCACAGGCGACTGAATTGGGGCGGTGGTGAGATAGGTGGCAAGGTCATATACGGCACCCAAGAGTTCAGGGTTATGCGTGATTTTGAACGCGTCGACGTATACATCCAGAAGCTGAGCCTGGTCGTAAAGCATCTTTTCAAAATGGGGTAGACTCCAATCCGCGGTCACGCTGTATCGCGCGAAACCATGGCCGATGTGATCCCTGATTCCTCCGCGCGCCATGCTAATCAGCGTGCTCACTGCCATGGCAGCTGCCTTGTCACACTCCTCTTGTCCTACAATGTCTGACACGGCGCTTGGGTACGTCTTCAGGCGCAGGAGGAAGCTTAAGTTGGCAGGCGTGGGAAACTTGGGCGCCCGGGAAAAGCCTCCGTTTACAGTATCATATCGCGAAGCGAAGTGCTGATAGGCCTCCTCCAGAAGCTCGATGTCCAAATCCTCATCCGCCTGCCGATCGCCTTGTTGGGCGTGTGTTCCTTCCTCGGCGAACTCCCTCAGTTGTCGCGTGATCTCTTTCGCACTATCGAGGCATCGCTGCTGCTGAGTCTTCCACACATCTCGCAGTTTCTCCAGGATATCCACAAATCCGACTGTGTCCTGTCTGGAGAGTGTTGATGAGTTCGG